AGTGAAATCCATCAGTCTTACCTTGTGTGGCGTCATTTAAGCAAGTTTCACTGTGCAAAATCAGTTTTAATTTAAACATTTTATGTCTCTAGTTGAATTTTTCAATTGATTTTTGGGTGAGTGCTTTTTTAGAAAGTCACAAATTATCAGGCAAATTCAACAAGTTTTTTTTTCCATGGACAGTGTGGACCACATTACAGTCTGATCAGTCCTAATAAAACTTCTGTATGGAATAAAATCACCTTTTTCTAAACTGAATAGTAATTCATTCTGATAGTGTCTCCATTTCTGGAACTCTTGGGCAGAGACTGACAAGTAAAGCTAATTTTGGTCATGGTTTTCTGATTAGTAGCTATTAAACATAAGCTAACTCATACTACCTAAGACATGAGGGATACCTGTAAATATTTGGCTATCCAGTGCTAGGTATAATCTTACTTTATTAAAACAGACACACCTAGTAGAGTTTTAACCTCATTAAAACAAGATACGTACATTAGTTATACCCCTCACTTTATATACCATCCCAATTTATACTGTGAGCCTGTATAATCTCACGACCTGAGACTTATATTCCTACTGAAGTCAATAGAACTGTAAAATTAAAGCACATGCCTAAAACTGAGCATATGCATTAGTAGTTTTGAGAATAGGAATAGACTGCTGAATTGAATAACTGGTTGGAAAACCATTCCCAGAGAGTTGTTATCAGTGGTTCACAGACAGGCTGCAAGGGCATATCAACCAGGGTCCTGCTGGGATCAGTTCTTGGTCTAGTTCTGTTTGATAACTTCCTGAATCACATAGAAGACATTTACAAAGTTTGTGAATGATGGGAAGCTGGAAAGTGTTGAAAGTGCTTTGAAGGATAAGATAAAAATTGAAAATCATCTGCACAAACTGGAAAAATGGTCTGAAGGATTTAAGAAGAAATTCAATAAGACAAATATAAAGCACTCCACTTAGGAAGAAACAAGTAGTTGCAAATGTGAACTCATTAATGAGTCTTCGCTGTTCAAGGAAATCTTGATGGCTGATGAATGGCTAGGAGATCATTCCTGTAACACTGTTGCATTTGTGGATGTCTGTGTAAATACAAAAAGCTTCAGAGGGGTAGCTGAGTTAGTCTGTAACTGGGAAATCTTTTAAAAAAACAACCAATAATCTAGCAGCACCTTAAAGACTAACAAAATATGTAGATGGTATCATGAGCTTTCGTGGGCACAACCCACTTCTTCAGATGATGCAGATGTCATCTGAACAAGTGGGTTGTGCCAATGAAAGCTCACGATACCATCTGCATGTTTTGTGTGTAAATACGGTACAAAGGCTAACAATCTGATAAAAGCTTGTAGCTTGACATCAGACTGACAGTATGAAAAGCATCCCAAATTGATGGGTTTGTAGTGGTCAGTGGTCCTACAGTCCAGGTTGCACTCTGGGGACTCTATTATAACATCCCATAGACATAAAAGAAAAAGAGAAGTTAGACGGTTACAGAGGTGCTGTAGGCAGTGCCATACAGCTGCTGGAATGATGCAGAGGTTTTTTTTTTTTTTTTAAGATTAGTCAAAGTGAGGTCCTAAATATTAATGATGATAAAAGGTCTTAGGTACTCTTTGAAGAGTTGGATTGTTAATTTTAGTGTCCAGGTCAATTTTCAGCAAAAATTACTTAAATTACCCCTGGGCTGCGTCTAGACTGGCAAGTTTTTCCGCAAAAGCAGCTGTTTTTGTGGAAAAATTTGCCAGCTGTCTACACTGGCCACCTGAATTTCTGCAAGAACACTGACGATCTCATGTAAGATTGTCAGTGTTCTTGCAGAAATGCTATGCTGCTCCCGTTCGGGCAAAAGCCCTCTTGCGCAAATGCTTTTGCGCAAGAGGGCCAGTGTAGACAACGCGGTATTGTTTTGTGCAAAAAAGACCCAATCACGAAAGTGGCGATCGGGGCTTTCTTGCGCAAAACCGTGTCTAGATCGGCACGGACGCTTTTCCGCAAAGAGTGCTTTTGCAGAAAAGCGTCCGTGCCAATCTAGACGCTCTTTTCCGCAAATGCTTTTAATGGAAAAACTTTTCTGTTAAAAGCATTTGAGGAAAATCATGCCAGTCTAGATGTAGCCCTGTAGTTTCAACTGGATACGGTATTGTTCTTTATCTCCTACCCTAACTATTTTTAATATTACTTTTTTGTGTTAAATTGGCCCTTGATTGTTAAAAAATAAAATGGATGACAAAAATAATCCGTTTCTGAAAAATAAAACCTCAGGTAATTTGTTGAATGTGTAAGTGGAGACATTTGACCGAAGGTCACTGAACATTCAGGGCCTGATTTTTCAGACGTGGTGAGCAGTTGGATCCCCTAGTTGGTTTTAAATGGAACTGAAGTTGCTCAACATCTTTAAAAACTAGTTCCTTGCTGTATCTGAGCTAACCTACTTCACAGTGATGCACTGGGCGATCATTGTTCAATGGCACCAATCATTTCTTTAACAGCTATAGTAATATTTCAGTCTTCTGACAGACTAATTTTTATTCTATATGCTACACAGTCACACGATTTGGCAGCTTGCAGTAGACATCAACTTACAAACTTTGGAAAAATATTGTATGCATATAAAGTTAGAGACAGAATTTCTGTTCCTTTATAGTAGCAGAGGGGAGAACTCAGTCCAGAATCATTCTTTTGCAAGTCTCATCTCTTGTACAGTGTATGACCATGGCTCTGAAAATGTTGGTATGGAGCTAGGAAACAGCAGCTCTTAACATCCTTGTGCCTGACTCAGAAGATCTTCAATATTCCCAGTCTTCTCTGGGCTCCTGAGGTACATTCCCCCCAGAGAATTAAAGAGGGAGCACTCTCTGTATTCTTCTGAGCACAGGGACTGCTCTTGTATCTTGCAGTTATATGGCTATGCAATCAGCAACAAAGAATCCTTTTTTTCTTCCCTGCTGTGCTTTCACTCCACTTTGATAAAATAAAACAATTTATTTCAATACAATATGTATTTTTAGATAAATTTTACTGTAGAATTGCAGGCAGAAAAAAATAATGGCTCATGAGAAAAAAATCCTGCTCCATCTGAGGGACCAAAAATATATTATAAATTACATTTTCAAAATTATAGTTCTCCAACTAGAAATTGCCTTTAAAATGTATTCATAAAGAGTAATGGGTCAGCAAAGCCTAGTATTGTTATATACATTGTATGGATTATGCTGCCACATTTATTCGCTGTGAGGGATTGATTTCTCATGGCAAGTACTGTATATCTGTCATTTTAAAATTGAGTAACTTGAACAGTTCTGGTGAAAAATACACAAGATGCTTCCATATCTGAGCCGGCACTGTTTAGAAAATGTCATTAAGTCTTTAAGTAAAATCCAGGGAGGCAAAATACTCATTTAGAATTTATTTACTATGAAACATTTATCATTTCTTAACAATTTTATATTGGGTGCTTTTATTTTATTTTTTTAAAAAGGAAACTCTCACCTTTAACTCTGTTAGGTAGTTAGTCTAGTGTAGCAATTCAAAAAGATTTAAGTGAAGACATTTTGTACTTTCTTGAAAGCAGAAGTAAGATCAATATTTTTTTTTATCTCTGCATCAGTTCCATATGCAATCAACTGGCTATGCAAAAATTACAGCAGAAGACTAACCACAGACATTTTAATAGTCTCAGAAGTAGATGTCACTGCAAAAAAAATTATGTCTGTAACATATTTTCCTTTCTGATTAGTGCTAGATAAGACACATTGCAATTTATGTTTACATAGACTTAGCTGGGATTTACAGAATATCAAATTCCTGCATTTCATTCTGCTTTTTTCTGAAGTATTTTCTCCCATCTGTTGTCAAGTTAAATAGGCTGGCCTTTCATCCATGTGAGGGATGGCCTGTCTTTTAATACACTGGCACTTTTCAGGATTTCTTCAGAAATAAAAATATAAATGACAATATATGACTATGACACACACTTCTGATTTATTTGCAATAACAACCCAAATATGTCTATTTCCCCCTTTTCCTTTGACACCAACAGCCATTGACCTTAAAATCATCTCTCTGATGGACAGAGATATTTGATATTGACTTCAGACTTTCCTGGAGAAAAGAACGGATGATGAAAAATAAAGAGGAGCTTATAAGGAATATGATGCTTTGAAATCTTAAACCCCATTTTAAATTATCTTTAACTTAAATCCACTTCTAAGTGATACTTACTAAAAAGTATCACATCTAGTTTTGTGCTTGAAAGATGACTTTGCTCCTTACAAAGGATTTATCAATTATATCTCTCAAATATGTCAGGCAGATGAGAGCTTAGTCTCATAAAACAGTTCTAAGACCTTTCAGGTCTTGGTAGAAATTGATTCTGCACTTTGGAGATATTATATCTTGTGAAATGTTGGGATACTTTCATCTGATAAGCAGTTTTCAACCAAATCATTTTTGAAACATTGTACTTGATTTGTATAGGCTAAGGAAGAATGCAAGTTTAATCTTCATTTTTTATATATTTGTAGTAACCTAACTTGTTTTAAGTCCTGTCTTCAATTCAATAATTTAAATAAACAATAAATAACAAAATTCTGTCCCTAAAAGCAGGCTTCCTTCTGCAGCTCCTAACCAGCAATTTACAGCATATTTCAATAGTGCATGATTTTTCACAAATTTCATTAGTACACCATTGATTGCTCATTTTTCAGCTCTCAAAACAATTTAGCATAGTCTCTTTCATGCAGAGAATAACATATTCATATTATTTGATTTTTGATGAAACCAAATGACCCTTTAAATTTGCAATGGGGTTCTTTAATTTTGCATGAGTTTCTTTACTGCTGTTCATTTAATTTTCTGTTTCCATTAACCATCTGCAAGCATTCGACACTGTGACAATTATTCAGCTGTTCTACATCATGACTGACATATTTTATAAACGTTTAAAAGAAAAAGAGAGCAAGAAAAGGAGAAAAAAAATCAACCAAACAAAAAAGTCATGGTTCAGAATCATGTATTTTCCATACAGCTGAGACATCTGAATAGTAATTATTGGTCCAATTGTAAATCTACCCTAATTGCATTTTGTCTTCCTTTCTGATAAGCACTTCATGATGACGATGATGATTACTCCAGCTAAACGGTGCTTCCTCTTTGAATGTTTCCCCACACTGATGGCCAGGGGGTTCTGCAGATAAAAGACTATTCAAGCAAGGCTCAAAGACAAGGTGGGTAAGATAATATCCTTGATTGTTATTGGAGGAGACAAGCTTTCAAGCTTCACAGTGGTCTTCTTCACATCTGGAAAAGATAGCCAGAGTGCATAAAAATACAAACAGGCAAAACTGCTCATTTCTGCCTCTGTTAATTCAGCCACAATTTTTCAAGTGAGAAAGAATACCAGTTTATACGCCTTCCATGTCCATGCCTGGCTTCCGCCTGATGATAGAGGGTGTTCATTAGAAAACACTTTAATTAACCAACATAACTGAAAGGCCATGTGAGGGTAATCAGTGTCGATAAACTAGGTCCCATCTCTGAACAAATTAAGAAAGCTGGGTTTTTTGTCTATTTTTGAAAGCCCTCACTTGAAAAGATTGATTTACTTTTTCTTTGTCCTATGAGTATATTTAACCCTGATAATTTATATTTAATTTTTGCCTTTTTGCTCTTGAGTTTGGATGAGGAAAATATTCAGAGTGTAACTTTTAAGTAACAGCGTCAGGAAAGAGAGCTAATATGTTGGCGTAAATCTCTATATTCTGTGGCATGCCAATTAAACTAGATGTCTGTCATAAACTCAAATCTACACATGGAATCAAAAGACTGTAGAATGCGAAGGTTCTTATGCCTATGTCACATCAGTCTCAGTTTTAAAAGCTCAATGAAGGCTTTGACAGAAATACAGAAATAATGCTGTCTTAAATGACATACATTAGACTTTCTAAAAGAAATGGGCAATTAAGAGAAGGCATTTTTTAAATAAGAGACAAACTTTTAGTCATTTTCCTGCAAATCCTGCAGTTTTTCTTTTGGCAAGGATTGAATGTGGGTAAAGAGTCAATACCTTGATATAAAATGACTCATGCCAAAGCTATGACATGAAAATATGGCAAAACTCCCCTGAGTTCAAGAACAAATTTGTGGACGGATTTTTTTTTCAAAGTTCCTGCTTAAAGTTAATGGGAGTTTGGGTGCAGAAGTAATTGAGGCTCAAGCACATTAGCAATAAATCATTGAAATGGGAGTAACTTACAACAACAACAACATGAAAATGAAATTGACAGATCAAGCATACGCTTTGTTCTTCATGATTATTAGTTTTATCATGACAATAGTTGTGGGCAAAATACACTGGATAAAATAACAATCAGACTGAATCATCACAGAAAATGAACACTTCTGAGGCTCCAGAATGTTCAGGAATACAATTTTTACCTTCCTCTAGACTTTTTAGTCCCAGTTTGATTAGGATTGCTATAACACCAGGAGAAAGGAAATATTCCTCGTGCTCAGGGCTAGCCGGAAGATAATGAGGCAGTTAGGAGAACAGTAAAGAGGAGTGAGTCACTCAAGTAAAGTGTCTGGGACCATTGTGAGGCACATACTGTTAAAAGTTCTTAGGGAATGCATCTTTAGAATCCATCAGGCATTGGAATTCTCAGAGCCTTAGCACTTGAATTCCCTGCCTCCCATGTCACAACCATGGTATCTCTAGTGTGAAGTTACATAACAAGGATTATTTTAAGATAAGGTCTGGTACCACTCCACACAGAAGCTGAGATGAGAGATAAACATCATGCATATAAAAGTTCATGTTTTTGACAGTATTGTGCTTTCTTGGGATTTCATTTTGAATCCCCAAATAAAAACACGTACCATGCATTTTAAAAAGTGCTATAATTCATTTGGGGCCTCAGACTTCTAAAGTCAGTGGCAAACTTCTCATCCTGCTCAAAAGGAGCAGGAACTGGAAAAAGATAAAAAGAAGCCTGGTGCAGGCATAGGAAGGCAATGAATTTGTGATTATTTTTTAAACAAACTAAGGGTCAAGAACTGCAGAAAACCCTTAGTTAAACGTGGTCAAAGTTTCCATTTCGTAGCTCCTGCTTGGTGTGGGATTTCTTTTGCAAAACATTCTTTGGGATCCATTCATGACTCATTCTTTAAGTTAATATTATTTGCCTCTCTTAAAATTGTTTCCTTTTTAGAATTGGCATTTTGCTCTCTTAAATTTGTTAATTGAAATTGTATTTATTTGATTTGATTTTGGTTATTTAGCTTGCAAATTACAGCGGAAACTCTTCATCCAGTCTGAACAGGAGACAGTGCAATTTCATATCATATTCCCAAATCACATTAATGTTATTGGTATTATCCTCCCTTGTGAGATAGATATGATAGTTTCACTCCCCTTCAGTGTACATCCTCTGCATATTATGAATTTGGTCTGTACTCTCATCGCTAAGGTTGAAAGTCAGCTAAGCACTATATTCAGTGTGCTATGAATTAATAATGCATTCATTGCAGTCAGAAGTTAAAATCTTCATCTGTCTCCTAGGCAGTGTCTCCATTCAATTGATGTCCATTTACTTATATATAAAGGCTTTTACAAGGATCAATAGGAGGATATCCTGTCAGGATTTTGTGTAAGGGATAGCTCTCAGTTTTCTTAATTACCTGATTATGTCATATTCTTTACTTGAAAGGTTAATCAACATAAAAGATTACACCTTTGATTACCTCACTATGCTCTATGCTATATGCTTTTTAAAAAAAGACATTATTGGATGTAAAAATAGCAGGAAGACTAGCACTTTCCACTTGTAAATTACTTATCTATAATTTCCTTTTCCTTTTTAGTTTCAGTTTTTAAAGAATCTGGAATTTTAGATACTTCGAAGTGGTTATAATGGCATAGAAAGGAAGTCATTGGTTCAAAGCTTCCAAAGTACTGATAACTGGTCAAACCTTGCCAAAGGGCCCAATCCTGAATCTAATTATTTCCATTGAGTTCCACATGGAATTTTTGCCCAAGGAGTACTGTAGATAGGGCTCTATGCTGGTTTGAATTTTGCAACGTTAAAATTTACACTCACAACAATCTCCAAGTTGGAAAGTTTATACAATAATAAATAATGCATTACCTATATCAAGTTAGCTTACTATTATTAGTTGTTATTCAGCACCACAGGTGTGCATAGTGCTTTCCAGAAACATAAGAAGGCAAGAATCCTGACCCTCAGGATTTTCCATTCAAGGCATAAGCCTGTGAAGTGCTGAGCATGTTCATCTCCCTGTGACTCCATCACCATAATGGATTAGGTCTTAAATTAGACATAACATCGGGAGTAATGATGCACAAGACCTAGGCTAGAAAAGGGGAGGGTGAGAACTACAACAAAGATCTATGATTTCTTTTCTTTGTTAGTTCAGATTTTTTTTTTAAGAAACTCCAGCATAACAGCAGATGTAAATTATAACCTTCCTTAGGGTAGAGACATGAAAAAAAAACCTCGAGTTCTCCTCAATCACCTAAAAAACCCAAACCAAACGAAAACAAAAAGTTGCCATCGCAACGGTGAGCCATGGACCAGTGGCTTGATTAGCTACTGTTCAGGTAGATCACTCTCTTCCCTACAGAAGTTAAAACAAAGGAACATATGAATGGCCATACTGGGTCAACCCAAAGGTCCATCTAGCTCAGTATCCTGCCTTCCAACAGTGGACAATGAACAGATGCCCCAGAGGGAATGAACAGAATGGGATAATCATCAAGTGATCCCTCCCCTGTTGCCTATTTCCAGCTTCTGGCAGACACTAGGGACACCATTCCTGTCCCATCCAGGGTAATAGCCATTGATGGATCAATCCCCAATGAATGTATCTAGCTCTTTTTTTAACCCTGTTAAATTCTAGGCCTTCACAACATCCTCTGACAAGGAGTTCCATAGGTTCACACTACATTGTGTGAATACTTTCTTTTGTTTGTTTTAAACCTGCTACCTCTTAATTTCATTTGGTGGGCCCTTTAGGTATTGTGTTATGGGAGCAAGTAAATAATTTTCCTTAATTACTTTCTCCACACCAGTTGGATTTTTATAGACTAATATCATACCCTTCCTTAGTCTTCTCTTTTCTGAGTTGCAAAGTTCCAGTCCTATTTAACTCACCTCATCTGGCAACTCTTCCATACCCTCGTCATTTTTGTTGCCCTTCACTGAACTTTTTCCAATTCCAAGATGTCTTTTTCGAGATGAGGTGACCATACCTCTGTGCACTATTCAAGATGTGAGCATACCATGGATTTATATTGAGGCAATAAGTCTCTGTCTTCTTCTCTAACCCTTTTTAAATAATTCCTAATATTACATTTGCTTTTTGACTGCTGCTGCACATTGAGTTGATGTTTTCAGAGAACTATCCATGATGACAACAAGATCTCTCTCTTTCTTGAGTGGTAATAGCTAACTTATTCCCCAGCATTTTATACTTATAGTTGGGAATATGTTTTCCAAAATGTATTACAGCCCGCCCCCAAGTTGCAAACGGTCGACTTACGACCGTTTGCAGTTACGACAAAAGCTGTTTTAAATGGCGGACCCCGGTAAATGGCGGACCCCGAGTTACGAACACAATCCGCGCTTACAAACAGCGTGGTTGCGTGTAACTCTGTGGAGTCCAACTTATGAACGAACCGAGTTATGACCAATTGCTTGTTCCATAACCAGTTCATAAGTTGGGAAGAGGCTATTCTTTGCATTTATCAACATTAAAATTCATTTTTAGATCCTTTTGAAGCTCTTCACAGTCTGTTTTGGAATTAACTATCTTGAGCTATTTAACATCATCTGCAAATTTTGCCACCTCACTGTTTACTCCTTTCTCCAGATCATTTATGAATATGTTGAATAGGTTTGGTCCCAGCTCAGACTTCGATGAAGCCTTCATTTCTCAATCTTGAGACTTGCTGCTGGGACCCAATCTAACAGTTTAGCAATTAGCTCCGGATATGCTTGAACTGCCCACAAAAACTTGCATTATACTGTAGCATTAGTCTCTTTCCTTATGATATTTCATAGATGTGTTCGTGTTTAAAATCAGTCTAATCTTGAAAATAAATAAATATGAATACCAGATCCTTACACTGTGAACATGCATGACTGCAGAATTCTCCTTTGAATTCAGACTTAGGAGACTGAGGTTCTGAATTCAGCATGGTTCTCTTCTCTCATTCCTCAGAATCTCAGCTCCCTTCCTGCCCTCCTGAGCTCAGCAGCCATCCACGACCCTTGGGAATTTTTCATTGCTGGATAAATCTTCCTGCTCAAATGACCTAAGTCTTGAAAGCTTCCCATTTAGATGCAAAACGAAAGCTGTCATGTCACACAAGTTACTTCATAATAAGTGAAGTACTGGAAAGTATAAGTTTAAAGTAGTAGTATTTGGTGTTTTTCTCAGGGCTGTCAAGTGATTAAAAATTTAATCAGGATGAATCACACAATTAAAAAATTAATTGAGATTAATCACACTATTAATAATAATTTATTTAAATTTTTGGATGTTTTCTACATTTTCAGATATATTGATTTCAATTATATCATTGCTTACTTTATATTTATTTTGATTATTAATATATTAGAGAGAAATAATTTTAAATTCACTTAATACCAGTACAGTGTTACAATTCCTTACCATGGAAGTTGAACTGCATACTAAACCCCCTCTGTATTCAAAAACCAAAAATGTAAATCTTTAGAGCCTAAATCCACTCAGTCCTACTTCTTGTTCAGCTGATCATTCAGATAAACAAATTGTTTGCCAAGGAAACACTGCCCACTTCTTGTTTACAATGTCTCTTAAAAGTGAGAACAGACATTTATTCACATGATGTTGTAGCCATTGTTTCAAGATATTTATATTCCAGATGTGCTAAAGATGCATGTGTTTCTTTGTACTTCAACAATCATTCCAAAGATTATGCTTGCTTACTGATGGGTTCTGCTTGATAATGCTGTAACATGAAATATATGGCAGAATGTGAGTAAAACAGAACAGGGGAAATACAATTTTCTAGCCCTCCCCAGCTTTCCCTGGTGGCCACTCTGGCCAACACCAGGGAAACTCTATTGCCCCCCTCCCGGCCCCGGACCCCTTAAAGGGGCACGGGCTGGCTACGGTGCCCGTGCCAGGT